ATGGCTGGATTTCTTGATCTCTTATTGTGCTGATCTATGCCCCTTATCACGTCTTGCCGCAGGAGGTGAGAGTCAGAAACGGGCTTCTCGATTACTTCGACACCCAAAGCCATGCGGGGTTGGACCTTTTGAGGACATACCCTAACCCTCCAGGGGCATCAGGGGCTCTAGTACCCTATGTAGTAGGTACATGGGGGGTTAGGGATAATATTGCATGATTTCGCACTCTGCCGGTGTGGGATGAGCCGACGATTTCACGAGCGGCTTCTTCGGCTCCCAACGAGCTACGATTCAGATCTACTCCGTTTGACTAAAGCCCTATGCAGCGAGCTCCCCGGCTGTTCTGAGTGTAAGCCGCAAGTCCCAAACTCCCAAAGCCCTACACCTCTGAAACCCTAGAGGTCTTATGTCGAGTCCTATGTCCTGAACCTAAGGGTGGGGCTTCAGAGCATGGAAGACTGCTGTGCATCCTGGATGAAGGGCTTTAGGAAGTTTCGGGGTCTAAGGGGTTTAAGGCGCGAGGTGCTGAGTAGGCTTGATGGTTTATGGCATTTAAGAAGCTTGCTCTCTTAACAATGCCCTAAACCCTAAACCCTAAACCCCTAAACCCCTAAACCCTAAACCCTAAACCCTAAACCCCTAAATTTTAGAGGCTTCCCTCCTGTAGGCCTCCCAGTTCAAGTCGTTCCTACTCAAAGGTCTGAAAGCACGACCTTCGTTTCGAGAAGCTCACCCTACACCCTAAACCCGAATGTGCGGCTATCCTTTCAGGGCTGAAGGTTTTTGAGTCTTCGGATTGGGGTGTCCCTATAGTGTCCGTTGAAGTCTCTTCTTAACCATTTATGTATTTAGGGTCCAAAGAGGAAACCCCAAAAAGGAACTGCAATGGAAATTATAGGCAGAGTTTCAGAACACCACAGATCCTACACGTTCTGGTCCCCTGGGCTTGAAGGATTTCGGGTCTACCATCTGTACAATGCATTCCTCACAAACTTCAGCTTGCGCTGCGCGCGAGCGTTGTTGTGGTATTCTCTGACATTTGTGTTCGTTGTCTACATCCGTTGTCAATGCTATGGCTGTTGGCACTGCTACTGAAGTTGCTGCTGTTGCCAGTACTGTCTCTACTACGACAATGAAGCACTTGCAATCGTAGCTGCTGACGTTGCCGTAGCTACAAGTGCTAACAATCATCTCCTGCTGTTCGTCAGAGTTCCTACATTCCCAACCCTACCTATAGAGGGTCATACCCTACTCCTCTTTTTGGACCTATTCTTTTTTAAAAAAAAAGGTCCCCCAGGAAAACGGGGGGAAGCCTAAGGGTTTTGGGACTGTTTTGGGGTATATTATGCTACAGCTGCATACCGCCAAACTAATAGTGGTGGCACAGAGGGCGCGTTTGTTCTGCGAAGCGGCTCAGCCCTGCACGTGCCTTCGCACAGGTAGCTCTCAGAGCACCGTTGCTCGCTGAGCTCGAGACTTTGCGGCTTCAGGGTGTAAGTTGATGAGGGGTGAACGCGTAGTTCGTCCAATTTGGAAGCTGCCCAAGGTCCGTATTCCAAGAGCGGGGTCCGAAAGCGTGTCTTAGTTCAGAACACCATACGTACAGTATGGTGGGAAGGCGGGTGTAGATGAAAAGCCACATTCGACTCTGCAGCGTTGCTTATTTCACCTTCCTCGAACTCTTCCCTCATCGTCTTGCTAGTTACTGCTTGCTTCAAGCCTCAGACGAATAGAGGAGCCTTGACAAGTTAAATGGGGTTTCGGGACCTACTACAGTATGGTTCAATACAGAGGTCAGAGGGGCATATAAGGGGAAACTGTTTCTAGTTCCTTGGACATAGACATAGACATAGACATAAACACAAACATAGACATCGACATCGACATAGACACATATAACTGGACATACATTTTAATTAAAGTACATATATATATATACAACAAATGAACAACTATATATAAACATATATATATATACACATAGATGCCAGTCTGTATGTATGATTATGTATGCATACATACATATACAAAATTAACTGATAGTTCAGACTTAGCCTCTGCCTCGAGTGTTTGGCTTGCCCTGGACGGGCAGATGCATGGAACGGGCGATTCCTGACGAACAGTCTCTGACACAAAAACGCGTTTGTCTAAACTGAAAAAAATGGGACCCCCGACAACATATCCGCGTGCGACCTTTGTGCCGCTCACTATCTCCCACCCGACTCTCAGCCCCAACAAAGAAACTACCAAACAAAACCAACTTACAACAACAAACGAACAGTAAGCAGCAACCACAATAAGGTAGACAAGATCAGGCAAGCAAGCCAGCAAGCAAAGCAACCAACCAGGCCAGGCAAACAACCAAAGCATACACAGGAGACAGTTCCAACAAGCAGCCAAAGGCAATCAAACGTTCGAAGCCAGCAAGCAGTCGACATCTAATCCGTATGACTCTGCACGATATGTGGCGTATGGTACCAAACAAGCAACACTTCTAGTGCACACAGAGGCAGAACACTCGCAAAGGGAAACTTTGACAGCTTTTAGGCGCACACTTCAACTCTCGCCAGTTGCATAGACGTGACCAACTGAAGTGTAAGCCGCACGAAACGAACTAAAGTGAGTCAGACATTCCGGTAGACCCAGTTACATCGAAGCTTTGCACAATAGCACAAGGAAGCTCAAGCTTCGTGGAGGCTCATACCCTAAAGTCATAAAGACTAGATCCTCAATAGCCTGCTGCATAAAAAAACATCTACATAATAAACGACTAGCACAAGTCAGGAATGGCCCAGTTCACATCTGAATTCGGCATGCTTTTGGGATGTCCTTGCTCGGACGGCTCTTATCAGTGCGACGACGCCCCCTGCCTCGGTAATTGACGACTCTCGGGTTCAGGAAGGTCTTTGCGCTCTCTAGTTCTATCTCCCTAAGGGTCCATGTAGCCAAATAGTATATACTTTGGCCTTAATGTAGTCCCGATATAGGTACTTTAGGGCCAATGTATATACTATTTTACTAAGTTGTCCTTTAAGCCCTTTGAAAATTACTTACTATTATGGTTTTCTACAAAATAGTAAGGGAAATTAAAAAAAGATCCCAAAAGACAACCCAGTTTATTTGGGTAAAAGGGCCCTTAGGGTCTCTGTGCAAGCCCGCAGGTCCTAGCTCAACCTTGCTTCAACCCTACCCTTCATCTCTAAACCGTCTAAACCCTAAAACCCTCAACCCTAAACCCTAAACCCTAAACCCTAAACCCTAAACCCTTCATCTCTAAACCGTCTAAGCCCTAAAACCCTAAAGCCCTAAACCCGGATGGCTCTGTCGACTTTGAGGGGGGGGGGGGGCAGGCCTTTGGGATTTTCTAGTCTGCAAAGTTTCTCCGGAACGAAGAAAGCCAGAGGGTCCCTGTACACTACTATGATGGATAATGCCCCCAAAAACCATATTAAGGATGGTCTCTTGGGAGCTAATTCCATAACGGTAGTGGAAATATTGGAGTTACCACTTCTTGCAGGCCCAGCAGGGTCTCTTAGAGCCTAGATATACCCGCCCAAAACCCTCAATCCTAAACCCTGCACCCTAAACCCTAAATCCTAAACCCTGCACCCTAAACCCTAAGCTTCAAGGAGGCATCGTCCGAAACGTTCTTCGATGGTGGCTGCTCTGCAGACCGTACCACAGCTGGGGCTTCCCCCCAGGATGTTGATGCAAGTGGGCTCCGGGAAGGCTGGCTGGTTAGGGTTTAGGGTTTAGGGTTTAGGGTTTAGGGTTTATGGGGGGTTTCCGGAAATTAGGGGTACCTTATTTTGGGGTCCTTATAATAAGGATCCTATTATTTAGGGTACTATATTAGGGTCCCCTATTTTTGGAAACCCTCATATGGTATAGGGTATAGGGTTTAGGGATTAGGGTTTGAGGATTAAGGGTTGAGGCTTTGGGGATTAAGGTGTAGGGTATAGGGTATATATGGTATAGGGATAGGGTTTGAGGATTAGGGTTTGAGGATTAGGGTTTAGGGTTTAGGCTTTTGGGATTAAGGTGTAGGGTTTAGGGCTTCGGGTTTAGGGTGTGGGCTTAGGTTGAGCCAGGGGGTGATGGCAAGACCATGGATTTTGGGTTCGGGTTTTAGTTTAGGGTTGCGGGGGTGGGGTCGATAGGTTCAGGTGTCAGGGTTTGGGTTTAAGGCTGTAGGGTTCAGGGTTTGGGTGCGGGTGAGTTAGTTTGGATTAGATCTTGTGCTTGGGGTAGCGCAAAGGATTCTGTGTTCGTTTTCAGGTGCTGCCTGATATTCCCGGGGCCCTCGAGCAAAACATGCAGGTTTGGTCTAGTTGGATGGTGAACCCGAAATATAAAGAGACTTCTCTAACTACAGGACCCAGCCCCAGAAGCACTATCAGCCCTAAACCTTTAACCCTAAGCCTTATACCATAAGCCCTTATGCAACCCACAGCCCTAAAGGATCTAGTCAGCCACCTCACCCCCTTTCTAGTATCCTGCGCCCGACACATTCCGGGATTCACCATCTTTGGTCTGAGTGTTTTGACGGTTCCTGGGTTTAGGCCTAAACCCTAAACCCTAAACCCTAAACCCTAAACCCTAAAAGGCCTTTTCGAGTTTCGGGCTTACGAGTCCCAAACCCAAAGCCCTGAGGCAGTCCAGGGTTTGAGCCATTTCGATTCAGGCCGAATCGGGATTGAATGTAGGGGCCTTAACGGTTTAGGGTTTAGGGTTTAGGGTTTAGGGTTTAGGGTTTAGGGTTTAGGGTTTAGGATTGAATGTAGGGGCCTTAAGAATTAGAATAGGGTATTGGGGTCCCTTATACTCTAACTAGTCATAAAAAGGAACCCCCCAAAATAGCATAGGTAAAAATTGAGGCCCTTACGTTAGGTCTGGGGATCAGACACCTCTTGGCGCTCTAAACCCTTTCCGTCCGTGCAGGGTTCAACCTCGTCAACACAAAGTTCTCTGAATTCAGCGCCGCATCTCAGAAGTCCAACTCAAATATACATGTGCACCTCAGCATTCAAAGCGATACAGCCAGGCATCATTCAACATGAGTCTTTATGTGTTGTCTATCGGCTTAGTGTGCGGGGCAGGGCTTGTAGTGTGTGTAGTTGTTGCGGCTCCTTTCATAAATCATCTGCACCCTGAACTCTACAAGAGGTGCCACATGTAGTGCCGAAATCATATGTGCCTGATTCAACAACTGAGAAATAGAAGTATGACTGCGAGGGCCTAGAAGAGGATAGAAGGCCGGAACAGGGCTATGGAAACACGGGCTCTCCCTGCCCCTGGCCAGGTTAGAAGACTTGAAGGTTTAGGGTTTAGGGTTGAAGGTTCAGCAACCCTAAACCCCCAAATATCCGGTCATTCACATCCGAGACCGGGACCACCTCGTTTCCTACCGGCTTCTTGTAGAGGCCGTCGTCCTGCCAGGTTAATTTCAATTCATACTCTGCTCAAAATGCACAGTCAGGGGATACGATCCCAAGTGCAGACAAAGTGACGTTTTGGAGGTACGGTGAAGTCTGGATACTTATCAAGTAGAGGCCTTAATCTTTAGATGGGGTTCTGGGCTCCTCTGTAGTATAGTTATAAGCAGGAGCCCCAAGGAAGAATATTGGTAATTATTTAGGATTCTATATGGGTAGCTGTCAAAATGAGGGTCCCTTTTGGGGTACCCTAAATAATAGGTGCCGTATTATAATAAGGACCCAAAAAGGGACCATAATTTTGACAATCACCCATATTCCTAAATCCGAAACCCTAAACCGTAAACCCTGGTAACTTGTTTGGGCCAGTTGGAGAGTCGGGGGGTTGGAGCGTCCTGGAATACAGAAATGCAAGAGTCCTTGCGGTTTAGGGTCTAGGGGTTTTAGGGGTTGAGGGTTTAGGGGTTTAGGGTTTAGGGGTTTAGGGCTTATAGGGATTTATAGGGTTTAGGGGTTTAGGGGTTTAGGGTTTCTAGACTCGCGGCTGCGAGTGTCACTTGCGGCATGGGGGGGCTGTACAAGGATTTACGGTTTAGGCTTCACGGTTTTGAGACCCAGGATCCTTGAAGAAAGTAAGTCTGAAGAGATTTCGGCAATAGATAGCTTTCGGTTTTCTCATCAGTTTCTCGTTTCGAATGTCCACGTCTTTGGAGAAATGCATGTCAACCCCTAAAAACCCTAAACCCTAAACACAACCTAAACCATGACCTGCTGTGCATGAGAGAACCCCCCGATAATTTCCAAGGGCCTGCACCTCTTGGCAGATTCGGACACGATGGGTTCGATCGTCCCTAAACCCTGATAGCCAGACCCCAGGCCCAATACCCTAAACTCTGCAAGCTATATCTAAAACCTGCCGACCTGCCCCACCCCCCACCTCCCTGCACTTGCAGATGCTGCGGATGCAGAGAATCGGCAACAAGGTTGATGTCCAGTTTAACTCGGGGTCTATAGAAAGTGTTATAGGGTGCGTGGAATAAGGCTTTATAGGGTCCTTGTCCACTAAGTACAGGCTCTATGTCTACGGGTGCATGCACCCCTATGTCCAAGACTTTGAGCATTGATGATGCAGGAACAATAAACCCCAAAATCCTCAACCCTGAACCCTGAACAACAAAACCCTGAACCCTGAACCCTAAACCCTGAATCCCAAAAATGACGGAGATGCTCTTTGGTCCTGCTTCCCACACGCTTGAAACGACGCCTCGTGAAGCTGCACCTCAGCACAAACTTAAAATAATGTAGGGTTTAGGGTTAAGGGCCTGAATGATTAGAAAAAATTTTTTTTGGGGGGGAGGTTAATTATACTATGATTATAATATGAGGAACCCTAAGGAAAAATATTGGTAATTATTTGGGGAACTTCTATATTAACATAGGGCTACAGAACACTGTCCCGAACCAAGAATTCTGAACCATTTATGAACCGCCGATTCTTGGCAGTGCCGACCATTGTGTATGCCTGTAAGTGTGCGTATGTGTGTGTGTATGCATGCATGGATTTATGTATGTACGTATGTATGTCGAGTTGACAAAGAGACCGCTGCGAATCGGTTAACGAGAATAACAGCAGTGTATGATGGCAGAATGATTTCTGAACGCAGTTAGTCATGGCAATTCTCTTCAAGAGCGTTGAAGTGCGACGAGTGGCCGCCAAGCACGGAACCTCTGCGCGGACCGGCACGCTTGCAGCAGAATTGCCTTTCGTAGAAACAGGAGCTTTAGTTGGGTCGGTGGTATATGGACGCTTATAAACACGTAGAACAAGATTTTGGGTATATTTCAGTGCAAACCTAACACGGAAGCGGAAGGAATGCTAGACTAATTAATCAGGCTTCTCTGTTACGCACCCCGCGGTGTATTGTCTGAATTGCAGAGTTTCACCTTCTGTCCTTAGAGTCGTCTCTTGTTCAGAGTCGCTGTCTCTCCTGGTGCATGATGGATCCTTACATCCCAGTATATCCTCTCAACCTTAAGCCCTAAACCCTAGATCCTGTCTGGACAGTGCCACATCTGTCACGACCACACATGCTCAGCAACTGGAGAACCCTTTCAGCCACTTGGACCACTTGGACCCATAACAAAACAAAACTGTGGAACTGCGTAAAGAAGGAGGGACCACACGTCCAAGGGGTTGTCGGGGTGCCTGAGCTGCGCTGTGATCTCAAGCTCTGGATCTTTGCCATGCGTTCCGCCTTCCCGGGGTTGCGGCTATAGTAGAGTTTGAGGTTAAACAAACATGAGCGACGAGATGAACAAACAAAAACATCTTTATGTATATATTCACAGGGATGCAGGGTTCAGGGTTTTCGGGGTCCAGGGTTTAGACGTTTAGAATTCGGGGTTTAGGCTTCGGGCTTAGAGGGCATGGGGTTTAGGTTCAGGGTTTCGGAAACTGATTTAGGTGGTGTATACATGTATATGTTGTACACCCCGGCAGATACATACACCTACATATGTGTCTGTGTTATACACATATGTATATATACATATGAACATATATATATATATATACATACACAAATATACATACGTGTATATGTAGATATGCATACATACATACATACATACATACATACATACATACTTACATACTGACGGACAGACAGACAGACAGACAGACAGCCAGGCAGGCAGACAGACAAACAGACATACCTACGTACGAAAATACACACATACATAAATACATAAATGCATACGTACGTACATACATACATACATACATACATACACACACATACGCATATATACACATAATCACACACACACACACGCACTGACACACACCATTACATATAATGTGTATACACATATATACAAGTATACATACGTACATGCTATATATTGCTGTATACATAAACGAATGCACGCGTACACATACATCCAATATATGCGTACAAAAAGCTTATATATACACACACACTATTTACACCTTCGTATTGTGCATATCTACGTTTTTGGACATCTTTATGTCCATCTAACTAACTATCTATCCATCTATCCATCTTTCCATCTATCTGACTATCTATCGATCTATCTATCTACCAATCCATCTATCTATCGATCTATCTACCTAACCATCTATATATATATATACACATCATAGACATTAGCGTTCGATGCGCTCTTAACTTTTCACGGTTCCCCGGCCACCTACTGGGATCACATGAACCCTAAACGAGCTTCACTACGGTTCAACCCACTCGCCCTCGCCCCCACATGATACATGGGTAGTTCTCTAAATGAGGGTCCCTTTAGGGTCCGTTTGCTAAAGGCGTCATACTATATTGGGGACAGAAAAAGGGACTCTGGTTCAGAGAACTACCCATAGTATATAGGATATAGCAGGAATTACCGCGTACGGTCTACACAGGTACAAAAATTGAAACTTTGGGGGGTAGCTACGGCTTATTTGCTGCCCCTCCCTGGGGGTTGGTACCCCATTTCATTTCTGTATGAGTCTTAATGGACAGTAGCAACCACCAAGAAAGGGCAGGGATAGGACCGTCTTGGTAACGCTCGATATCTGCAGAGCCTTACTTAGTTTAGTGGGGCTATTTAGGGTTTAGGGTTTAGGGGTTCGTCTAGTTCCAACCATCTTCCCGAAACACACAGAAAAGTGTCACTGACCCTGAGACCTTGAACCCATCAGACCCCTCAACTTGCTTGCTGTCAGATGGATCCCTAAACCCTAAACCCTAAACCCTAAACTTGTAAACACGTCCGAGGCCGAAGACGTGGTAACTACACCTTGTGCCCACTCTTGTGTTCCCCAAGTTAGACGAGACTGAACCCGGCTAAAGTTCAGGGCGTTTTGGAGTCAGAAGGGCTTTGAGTCTCGAGGTTTAGGGTGAAGGTTTAGGCTTTAGGGTTCAGGGCTTAGGGTTACGGGTACCATATCTGCCGCAGCAGGCATTCACCGCATTTCGGTCTGCAGAATGAATGCTCCTAGAAATTGCTTCGGGCACTGAAGCGGCCAGAGTAATACTATTTTGGAGGTTACTGTATATAAGTGTAGTTTCAGTGGCCCCAAAACCCTATTCTAATTACTAAGGCTTCTACAATAACACCTCAGTTGATGATGGACCCAAAACCACTAAACCCTAAACTCTAAACCCCTCAGTCTCAGTGCTGCCCCCCGAAATCCCCCCCGCCTGCGACAGCGGCTTCACAGCGAAGGAGTTCGTGCTAATCCGACTCGTCCTGACTCTCGGAGGCGCTGGGGGTCTGTAGGTCTGGCAACTTGTAGAGTTTAGCCAGACCCCCAAAAGGATCTAAAAACTAGATCCCCTAAGGCGGTTCCTATAAAGTACCCTTTAGTAGTTAGGGTCCCTAATTAGGGGATCTGTTCTTAGGTCCTTTTGGGGGTCTGGGTAGGGCGAAGAGTCGAAGCCCTACAACCCAAGCCCTGTTGGGGGTTTTAGTACGGATCATTCATAGGCCAGGGGTCCGATAAAAGTCTGCTTTAAGCGGTGAGGATGGATAACTTCAGAACTCTGAAGCCTGCGGGGCAACCTTTGGACTAAAACTGGCAGAGCTGCATTCTCAGTGACGACCGGCGGTGGAAGGACATCTGTTCTTGCACCTGGCGGAAGGTGCGAAGCGTCCAATGATCGAAAGATCAGCAGGAAGACTAGCAAACCTTGCTTATATATTTCTATGCCCTCAACCCTGGATAGGTTCGTGTCAGAAGAGAGTAGCTCAGGTGTGGAAGTCTGTGCCGAGGCACTGCGTTCAGTGCTGCTTGCATAAATATTTCGCTTGATGCGCTGTTGACAAGCTTGTTAGGGCTTAGGGTATCCGGCAATTACTAGAAGATTGTGCGTGCAATCAATAGTACAGCTGCGTCGCAGCAAGCGCAATCTGCAAGACAGCACCCTGAACCCTACAAGCCTCCTAAACCCGAAACCCTAAAAGCCACAAAACCCGGAATCCCTAAACCCTTATAAACCCTCAAAACCACAAAACCCTGAATCCCTAAACCCTAAAAGCCACAAAATCCTGAATCCCTAAACCCTAAGCCGAGAAACAAAAAAAACCAACACATAACCCTCAATCCCTAAACCCTACAAGCCACAACACCCTGAATCCCTAAACCCTAAAAGCAAACCCACCTGGGGCACTACCTCCATCGCCAAGAGAGACATGCTCGCCTTGACTGCCGTGACTTCGTGACAGACACCCTAAACCCTAAACCCCTAAACCCTAAACCCCTAGACCTTAAATCGAAGATAAGCTCTGGCAGTGGCAAGATGGAGAGGACGACTCAAGATGGCTCATCTATGCTGAATAACATGACGGTGATGATAATGCTGATGGCCGTAAGGGTTACAAAAATAACGATGATGAAGATGATGACGATGATGATGATGATGATGATGATGATGAAGATGACGATGATGATGATGACGCTGATGAAGATGACGATGCTGGTGGCGGTAGAGATACTGGTGGTGTTTTAAAGGTGATGAGCGTGACGATGGTGATGACGAGAAGTATGAAGACGATGCTGATGGTGGTGGTGGTGGTGCTGGTGGCGAATATAATCATGGTGAATATGATGGGGATGATGATGATGGTCATGGTGTTGATGGCGATGATGTTGATGATGATGACGATGCTGATGACCACGATAGTAGTGGTGGTGGTGGTGGTGGTTACAGTGGACGGTGGTGCTGGTGATGACGGAGGAGGCGGCTCTCTGTCATGAACACGGCAGTAGCGAAGGACTCTCGGGAAGCCGCTTGATGACCGGGAAACCACGGTGATCATGAGAAAAGCTACGACGGCGATAATGACGACGAGAACTTGAGAACGGTGATGTGTTGCTACAGCTGCTGCTGCTGCTGCTGCTGCTGCTGCTGCTGCTGCTGTTTATGGTGATGATATCATCATCACACTACTGCCGACGGCAAGACCAGCGACGAGTGGAATGCTGCTGCCGCCTTGCAATGCTGACGATACAAGTTCATGACTGACGTCAGGATAATGGTCAGCGCGAGGCCATGTATTCGGAACTTTGCTTTTTGAGGCAAAGATGACAGGAATGATGTAGGTTCTGCGCGTCACAATCAGTGTGAGACCCTTCCTTGCGTCCTGCTGCCCTTAGTAGATTAGGGGGCAATGTGGAATCATTCTCGTCAATATTGCAAGACACCAGGCAAACACAACACTACACACGAACAAAGGTAGCTGGTGCCGCCCTGTGGCAAGGAGGAGGTTCAGGTCAACAACGGACCTCGGCACAGATGCTGTGGCGTTTCTACGTCATACAGCAGATCGTGAGCCGCATGAGAAGTGTTTCTGTAAACTGTAAGCAGTACTTATTACAGCATAAAGAGGATTGCAAGCCATAACCATAAATGCATTGCGGTGCAATCCTCTGCAAATACTTGCGGTACCCGATGTGCCAAGGATTCATTTGAGGGCTCCCCAGGCACGAAAGCTGAATGCAACCATGCCTTTCAGTGCGCAGTTCATGGGGTCAGAATACAACAAACCGGTGTCCAATCTGGATAGCTATTTGGCAGCCCTGTCACGTTCTGGGGTTCATGAATGTGGGCTTTAGTTGTATTTTTAAGCACAGTCCCAACCTCGGAAACCTTGCTCAACGTTGGCATTGCTGTGCGCCAGATAAAAGATGCAAGAATGCAGGGTCTACCTAAAGGCCCGAGAGAATTCGTATGCTGTAAGTCAGGTTATCATTAGGATAACCTTACTCAAGGCGCCGATAACCCCAAGTTTTACGCTACTGACTGTCCTCTGGGCCCTCAAGTAGGGTTCAGGATTTATAGTTTCTTTCTCTTAAGGTTTACAGGGTAAACTGAGTGAGGATGCTTCTGTTACCGGTCTGTGCTTGTGGTTCCTGCTTTTCACGGAAACGCTCAGATGATGAAGAATGCCCCAAACCCCCCTTCCCCCCCAGAATTCGACAACCCTACACCCTAAACTCCTAAACTCTAAATCCTAAACCCTTCAAACCCTAAGTCTGCCAAAGACAACCGAGGCACATCGTCTCAATGGACTGGCAAACGTCTTCGGTGTGCATGCTGGCCTTGATATTCGAAGGGCTTTCCCCGAGGTCGCGGGCACCCAAACCCACTTGTGACTAGAATGGGTAAAGGGTTTGGGGTTTAGGGTTTCGGGTTTAGGGTTTAGGGTCTAGGGTTTAGGGTTTAAGGTTTAGGGTTTAGAGGTAATCTTTTAGAGGCCCTTATGAAAATTAGGGTATTAGGGGGGGTATGATGCTGAGGAACCCTACGGGAATCTATAGGTAAATCTTCAGGCTTCTACATGCAACTCTCAAGGCAAGCAGTTGGGTGAAGCCACAGAAGGGTCTGGACCAAGTGGCGGACAAAAACATCACGCGACACTGGCCCACACTCAAACCGACAAGACTTGATATCAAACCCACAACAAACCCCAAGGCTCGGGAGTGTAACATTTGCGCCTGAAAATTTACCAAAGGAGTCTAGAATAGTCTATAGTACTCCTTAAAAACGTCTTCTACTTTTCAAGATCCCTAGATTCGTTCAAATGCAGGGATTGCAGCTTCGGATGTCGGGCTTAGAGTTTATGTAGAGCCTTGGGGTGTAGGGAGGAGGGGGAGGGCGAAGAATCCGAGAATCGCCCCATGTTACACGCTTCTGCAGATTTACAGTGAGGCTTGTTAGATTCACGATGCCTGATGTATTTGGCCAAGCCCTTTCCTCGCCTTGTGTTTTTTGTGCTAAGGTTTGGGTTCAATTGGAGCAACTACAGCACTGCCTGATCCTCGACGCGAGCACTTGACAGTTCAGACACTGAACACGAAAACATCGAAACCGCAACATCGAATCGCCCTCTTCTACAGGGATCAAGGTTACTGAAACAGTTACTTTCAAGGATTTACGTTTTCGAGGGTAGTGTCTGGACCAGTAGCCAACTCCGTGGCAATGATCTTCAGCTTTCCGGACATGGAAATGGCAGATGGCACCTGCACGAGATGCATCTGACTTAGGGTTTGGGGTTTGAAGTTTCGGGGTTAGGGGGAAGGGCCTAGCGTTTGGGGGATTAGGTTCTAGGGTTGGGGATTTTAGGGGTCCTGAGATGTGAGAACCTCCACTTATTTTACGAAGGCGAGGCTCGTTGAGGCACTGATGGTTCCATAACTGTTGGATAGAACAGAGGAGCTCAAGGGTCTTACCGGGTTTAGGGGTACATTATAGTATCACAATATAGTCAGGAACCCGAAGGCATAGTATTGGCAATTATGATTGCGATGTTCGTCAACATGCTCGTACTCACATCACCAAGGATATCAGCAGTTTCTTCGCTGTCGTTATCGTCGTTTCCTTCAGAAACTCCGGTCGAACATGAAGCCTGCTTCGTGCTGTGTTGACGGAGTGCTGTGGCAACGGTATGCGTCAAACTTTACCACCTATCGCAAGGGCCAAATACCAAATAATACTAGGCTTTTAGTAGATATTTGGGCCCGCAATTTACATAATGAATTGCCACGCTGTTACTGAGACCCGTTGGGAATGAAGTTGCGGCAGATTTCCGGCTGTCATGCTCGAAGCCGTGCATCACAAGCCTTCCATCCGCCCCCCCCCCCCCCGGCTTGGGGTTTAGGAATTAGCGCTGCTCTCCTACAGAGACGCCACTTCAGACCCCAACTCCTACACCCCAAAGCATACGCCAGAGACCTCCAAGCCTTCCACCCAGAGAGCATGTGTCTGCCCTGGCGCCTTCTGCAAGTTGAAGAGGTAGATCTCCCTCCTAATCACAGGAAGCGGCAAGTCCACAATGTAATTAACAATGAATCAAAGGCCTCAATGACTAAAACAAGCGCCTCAATGATTAAAACACGGTTTGGGGGATCTTGTAGTACAGGTATATTCAGAAAGAAACCCCTAGCAATATTCTTGGCAGCTTCCCGGGATTCTATATTATTATACTGCCATGCAAGAGCTTCAAGAGAATCTGCCGAGATGAAGTTCTGACAGGAAGGTATATGTTCTGCATGGTGCAGGGAGCAGGGAGCAGGTCTCGCAAGGCCGTACTCTTCCGGCATCAGGTGGTGAGCCTTCGACTACTAGGTCTTGGCTTGAGAAAACCATAAGCCCGAAATCACCACCAGCCACCCGGAACCGATAAGACTAGGGCTTAGGGTGTTTTTTTTGTTGACCGCTTAGGGTTTAGGTTTTAGGGTTNNTAGGGTTTAGGGTTTAGAGCTGAAGCCAGGCTGCTGTCCACCCAGCGCCCCGCGGTAGAAGAGAGCAGAGCTGGTGCCAAGGAGCAGCCTCAAAGAAGAGCACATAGGGTTTACCCATAGGCCCTAAA